GGCTGCAGGTTTGAGCGACCTGGCCCGGAGAGTCCCCAGCGCCAGCGTCCGGGTGCGAGGGACCGGCCCCTCGTTACACGTCCAAGTTCCCAGGCGGGGACTGCGTCTGTCCTCAGCAGGGCCAGGCCTGTCGCGGGGGCACAGTGTTGGTCCAATGAAGGAATGTCGGTTGTCCCTGGGAATTTCTCTCTCTGCGGTTTCTCTTCTTTTGAAACGCCGCGTGGAACGGCGGTGACAAGAGGCAGTGTGTGCGTTTTACAAGCTGAATCCTTTCAAACTCGTTCCTGGGAGCTCTCACTTGCTCTAGAACAAGTCGGGTGCCGGAGGCCCACCCGACGACCCCATCCATTCCCTCCGGAGGCGTGAGTGCCCAGGCGTGCCTCATACTTTCAGACCTCACTGCATCAAGTCCTATTTGTGTACCAGTGTTCCTTTGCGAAGCCTTCTCCAGCATCCCCATCCCAGTAATAATGAGTTTCTCTCCCAACACACTCCACTGGTAATAACCACCAGAGGGCTGTTGATTCTGACGGAATTACAAATGCTTATTTTAAAATCGTGAAAGTGAGTTTTACCTTCCCTTGATTATAGTGAACATGTGAAGGGAGAGTATATCAGGGAAAAGATATTTTTGCAACTAAACCAAGGATCAGGATTTCACATCTGTTGGGTCAATAGTCAGAAAATTATATTGCATTTACATTTTTTGTTCTTGGCTTTTAAAATAGTTTCACTACATTGTGTAAGTGAATCAATGCATGGCTGCACAGATAGGGGTATGGGGGATGGAGGAGCTAGGTCAAAAAGGCTAATATTTTAACAGGGCCCCCAAACTGAGCACTGAAAGACTGACTAAAGGTAAGTGGCTGTATTTACAGTGGTCCTCATCCTTTATTGTGACCAGAATCTGCTCGAGGGCTTCTTCAAACAGACTGAACAGACTGCTGGCCTGTTTTTGGTTAACTCTGAGTTTCTGATTAATCAGGTCTTGCTAAGTGAGGCCTGAAAATCTGCATTTCTAACAAGTTTCCACATGAGGCTGATGCTATTTGTGTTGGGGACTAAGTGTGGTCTACAGAGATTAAGCCAATTTCTGTTAGTAATGAATCCAAATACCCCAAGTTATACCACATTTGTAAAATAAGAAAATGAAACCTCAAGTAGTCCAGACCCACGGCCTACCAACCTAAGTATTTTGTCTGATAGGAGGAAGCATCAGGGAATTGTTTTCTAAGTGGACATTTTTCTTCAAGATTATGAATAGAGTTTAGCATGCTGATCACACTGTGTGCAGAGGCCCCATCACACTGATGTCTTCAGGAGTAAGTCACAGAGACTTCCTCTTGTGTCTCAGTAGAAAGGTTGTGATCCCATCAGTGTAGTTTGAATTGCTTTTTCTGAAATGCATTACCTTCTCTACATCAAGGTACATCTGCCACTCCTCAGCAGGAGCTTCTAGTCCTCATACCTTGTTAGGAAGGGTCCCACTAGTTTATGAAAATGAACCATAAGATTTCCATGAAATCAGGAAAGACATAATTGAGCTGGAGGAATTCTAGAGAGGTCAACTAAAAACAATAGCAATAATAATAATAAGGAAATAATATGTTTTCCTTTGCTGCCTTTAGCTTGTAATATGATGGGCAGCTTCCTACCTGCCCCTCCTCGCTATCCTCACTGTGACCCCACGAGTTCCACCGTGTTTCTGTCTCCTAGATCACCATAATAGTAACGGTCCCAGTTGGCCTTTATGCCTCAGTCTCTCTTATCTCCAGCACAATCCAATAGAATTTGCTGTGAAGGTGAAAATGCTTCATACTTGTGCTGCCGCTAAAGCAGCCCCTGCCACGTGTGGCTGCTGAGCACTTGAAATGTAGCTAGTACAACCTAGGAACTGAATTTTTCATTTTATTTAATTTTAATTATGTTCAGTTTAAGTACCCACAGTTGCCAGTGGCTACCATACTGGATTGCACAGCTCTAGACCATACCACTGACACAATTTGTCTTCCCAATGCACATCTCTGCATGTCACCACTCCTGCTTAAACATTTTAAATAGCTGAAAAGTCCAGGTTCAACCCAGCATTCGAGAACTTTCAGGATAGGCCTCAATCTCCTTTTGTGAGCTCACTACTGACTTTACTCAGTTCTTTTGAATTACTTGCCCTATATTATCTCTAATTTTATCCTGTTCTCTTCTGGAAATAACTTATACTTCCTTCTACCCCCAATTTAGACAAAGTAGAGGTCAAATCACATCTTCCCCATGAGGCCTTCCTCCTTCCTCTAGGTTAAGATGATTAATCCCACTCTGTAGGATGTCACATGGCATTCAGATATGGCATCTCTATTTTGGAGTAAGAAAGACCAGGTTCAAATTCTGGCTCTGCTATTTAATTGTTGTATGAATCTGAGGAACTCACTAAACTCATCAGTAAAATTAGTATAATGATTATCAGGCAAATAGTACCTCTCTTGAGATAATATATGTGCAGCATCTGCCATATATCAGGGCAGTAATAAATGTTAATTCCTGTCTTTCCCACTTCTGCACTCTTACAGCACTAAATTTTGGTGTTTCTATTCTCCCAAATTATTGAGTCTTTGTTCTTCTGTATGCCCAGAGCACTTAGAATTCAGCACTCTTTGTGGAACACTAAATTAATTGACCATATTGGGTGAAATAGCTTCCTTCAGTTAGAAACAAATAAAAAATGTGTATGACAGAAAAACTGTGAAAATAAGAGTGAACAAACTTACCAAATCTTAGTCTAGTAGACGGTCCACCTCTTAAACTGTCAGTGATGAAGAGTGAAGACAATAAAATGAAATATTGCTTTCCATAAGTGAACTAATGGGATAGAGTACTTCCAAAGGGTGTGCCAACAGGAAATATAAGTATTTTAGCTTTGAAAGACTTAGAGAAATTCTTGGGGGATCAACTACAATTTGCGATGGGAGGAGATGAGTATATTTTGTTTTCAACAACAAGGGCCTTGGTACAGAGGTCACACGCTAGTGGTCCGCAGACTGAATCTGGCCTGCAGAAGTGTTTTGTTAGATATGTACTGTGTTTTTCAAAATAGGTAAAGTGACTGGCAACATTTAAAAGTCAGAAGATTTCACATAAGAATCTAGAATTATGGCTTCTCTTGGAACAGAGCAGATCTGGTTACGATGAGGCCATGACCCGTGGCAACAATTGCTAGAAAAGAGTAGCTGCTCCTGCCTTCGCCAGTCCCGCTGCTCCCACAGGGCTTTGATGTTCATATGTTGCCTGCTCCATGCCAACCCTGCCTTAGTGCCGCTTTCAGAAAGAAAATGCTGGATGCTAATCCTTGGATCTAACCTCAGACGGCAATTTTTATGATCTCAATATAATTAACAAGTTAATTATGCTCTTTTCATTGCGAGGAACAGGTATCGTTTAGTAATGGAAGTTTCTTGTAAGATTACATGGGAAGAGTAAGGAAGATTGGATCAATATTTCTATGGGTGGGGGAAAGAAAGGGAAAAATATTACTTATGTTTTAATGTACAGTTCTATCTGTAAAAGAAGTGAAATACTAATTCTCTTGAGTGATACACTGTACAATACCTCTTCCATCTGCCTGTTTTCCCCAAACACATTCTCACTTCATTATTGAATTTGTGACCTTTGGTTCATAGGCAGTGTATAGCCCACTACTGCTACCCAGTGCTTTGAGGGTAAAAATACAATATATAACTGTGGCCCAATTACTTAGCTTTTTGAAAAACCTCAGTTTTATTCCCTGTAAAGAAGGGATAATAATAGTACTAGGATTGTGGTGGAAATTAAATGAAATAGCTCATGAAAAAAATCTAGTGCAATGCTTGGTATATGAGAAATGCTCTATAAATGTTGATGATGATACGTGCTCTTCTGAAGGTGAACGAAGTTGCTGATATATTAAATTTGTTTGCAGCCTCACCTGTAAAAGAACTATTTGTGTAATCTGCATAATTTGAGTGTTTATCTATATGTTTTATTGCTATGTGATATAGCTATATATACATTTTTTCACATTTATGTGGGAGAATTTGAGTTTATGCCTTTTTTATTATTCAGAAACACAGATCATCAAGAATGGTCCTACTTTCGCCTGGAGATGGATCCATCCCCAGTAACTCCTCCTTCTCATTCTCTTGAAAGAGCAGGACAATATGGATTTTGAAAGCTTCATGTGCCCCTTAGAGATCATGGCCCATTCATGTCCTTTTATGGACAAGGAAGCAGAAACTCGGGTCTAAGACACTTGCCCCCCATTATCTAGTGAGTTAGAAAGAAGCCAGGGCCAGAACTCCAGTATTCTGACACCCTGCGCCATGCTTTCTCTGCTGCAGCATGATGCCATTAATGGGATACTTGACAGTCACTCAAGAAATATTTGTTGAGGGCCTGATGAGCAGCAGGTGCTGTTCTGGGCCCTGGAGATACAGCCACTGACAAAGTCCTGCCTCTTGGGTTCACGTTTTAGCTTAAGACAGAAGACAATGGACAGAAAAATACTGAATCAAGTGCTTTCAAGTGCTATGAAGAAAAGGCAACGGTAAAAGGATAATGATGGGTGCTATTTTAGATAGAGAAGGAGTTAAAAGACACTGTACTGACCACCTAAACCTTAGCATTTGCAGTGAAAATTGGTGATTCTACTGACTTTTTTCTCTGTCATTTCCCAAGAAATGTAATTGAATATGAAGAAAACTAGGCTTCCTAGCAGGACACTTCAGTTCTAGTCCTGACTCTAATTATAAAACAGAAGTTTTAAATTAAGCTGTTTAGATTTCTGGGCTTTGGTTTCTCCATTTGGAAAATTATAATATATACTGTGCATTCTTTATAGGGTGGTTTTTAGTATAAAATTGTACAGTGCATGACAAAAACTGCAATTTATTATGCAAAACTAGGATTTTTTTTCCATAAGAATGTGCTGAGGATCTAGATTTGTTTTCTGATCTTTTCCCACACATCCAGGAATGATGCAACCGGAGAGGAGCATCCAGGGTTTTAGCTCTAAATACGGGCAAAATTCTTTTACATATGATGTTAAGCGAGATGTGAACAATGAGGAGACCTTTCAACAGCAACACAGAAGGAAGACCATTTCCTCTAGGAACCTGGACTTCGACATCACTACCTTGAGCCACCATGTGCAGTGCCGGCGCGTGTGTGCGAGATCACTCAGCTGCCACCAAACTGGCAACACCAAAGCCCTACCTGACCCCTTTGGTGCCTACTTCTGTCTTCCTCCTCTGAATTCCTGTCATCAGAATCCTTAGTTTACTATGTAATTTCTCTTCAGTTGTTGTTGGTGTGAGTTTTTTATGTGGTTTGTCTTGTAGCACCTTTTTTTTTTCAAATTGGAAGTTTGTACCTCTTTATTGTCTTCACCTATTTTGCCCACCCACCCTGCTCCCCTACAGCAGCCACCAGTCTGTTCTCTGTGTTTATGAGTTTATTTCTGTTTTGTTTGTTTGTACATTTGTTTTGTTTTTTTAGCTTCCACATATAAGTGAGAGCATATGGTATTTGTCTTTCTCTGTCTGACTTATTAGCAGAATGATGCCTTCTTGTCAGTAAGCTTCTTGGGCATAAAGATCTTGGATGCCCCCCATAGCATCTAGGGATGGTATTATTTAATAAGTACCTTGTTTGATTAACCACCATTACCAGTCTCCTAACAACACAAATATCAACAATGGGGGACTAATGAATGGAAGCAGAATGAGATCCTCCTAACCTGATATCCAGCCACGTCAACATAGTACTCGTAGTAATCAATGCAGAACTCACCACCTCTGACGGTGTGACTATGTAGGTCCTACAGTTCAGAGGCTCTTAACCTGTTTTTTTGTGCTGTGAACCTTTTAGCAGTCTGGTAACATTGATGAACCTCTTTTCAGAATTTCCTTTTTTACTTTTTTTATTGTGGTAAGATGTTTATACATAAAATTGGTCATTTCAACCATTTTTAAGTTTTATAAATCAACAGCATTAATGACATTCATTATATTGTGCAACCATCCCCACATTCTGTTTCCAAACCTTTTTCATCACTCCAAACAGAAACTGTGTACCCATTAAGCAATAACTCCCCAGTTTCCCCTCACCCATCCCTTAGTAACTTCCCTTCTACTTTCTGTCTCTATAAATTGCCTATTCTAAATATTTCATTGAAGTGGAGTCATACAGTTTTTGTCTTTTATGTCTGGTTTATTTCATTTTAGCATAATGTTTTCAAGGTTCTTCCATGTAGCATGGATCAATACTTCGTTTCATTTTATAGCTGATGATACTCTATTGCATGTTCATATCACATTTTGTTTACCTATTCATCTGTTGATGGACACTTGGATTGTTTCCACCTTTTGGCTACTGTGATTAATGCAGCCGTGAATACTGGCAGAGGGTGTTATCTGTTTGAGTCCCTGTTTTCAATTATTTTAAGTATATACACCTGGAAATGGAATTGTTGGATCATAGGTATTTCTCCGTTTAACTTTTTGAGGAACTTCCAAACTTTTTCAAAGTGGCTACACCCTTGTACATTCATACCACCAATATGCAGCTGTTCCAATTTCTCCATATCCTCTAGAACATTTGTTATTTTCCATTTTTTTATTATAGCTGTCCTAGGAGATGTGAAGTGGTATCTCACTGTGTTTGGGATTTTTTTTTTTGCAATTCCGCTAATAACTAAATATGATAAGCATCTTTTCATGTGCATATTGGTCATTTGTGTATCTTCTTTGAAGAAATATCTACTTCTTGCCCTCTTTAAAATTAGTTGTTTATCTTTTTCTAGTTGACTTGTAGGAATTCTTGATATATTCTGGATACTGAACACTTATCAGATATATGATTTGCAAATATTTTCTCCCATTCTGTAACTTATCTTTCAGTCTGTTGCTAGTGTCCTTTGGTGTGCAACAGTTTTTAATTTTAATGAAATACAGTTTACCTATTTTTTCTTTTGTTGCCTGTGAGTGGTGTCATATTTAAGAAACTATTGTGAAATCCAAGATCATGAAGATTTTCCCCTTTGTTTTTCTAAAAGTTTTATAGTTATAGCTCGTAAATTTAGATTCTTGATCCATTTTGAGTTAATTTTGTTTATGATGTGAAGTAATGATCTGAATTAATTCTTTCCATGCAACCATTTTCCCAGCACGATTGTAGAATAGACTGTTCTTTCACAATTCAATGGTCTTGGCCAGAATTTTTTGTAATGCATAAAATACATAGGATCATAAAAGACACCAGGTATATTGAAATGTAGTTAACAAAATAAGAAAATAATAAATTTATATTATTTAATAATATGGGTCTAATAACTACCATAATTTCAAGTAGTGATGAATATAAATGATATTTTAGGATATCTGTAGCAATTTTAATGTAATATGAAAATATTTGTGATTTCTATTGGTGACAATGCCAAGTTCTGCTGAGACTACTGTGGTTTGTTGTCAGTGTTCATCAGTGAAGGAAATGCTAAATTTCAGTTCAGAGGTTAGTAAAAATAAAGATATAATTTTTCCTAAGTTCACATACCTCTGCGAATTCTATCTTCAGACCCCCTGGGGGTTCATAGACCTCAGATTAAGAATCCCTTGTAACCTACATCATAATATTAATCCTAATTGCTCAAGTTGTCCTCACTCAACTCTGGATTTGCTAGTCCCTCTGGTCTCTTGATCTATCACCCGCAACTGGCATGTGTTGGCTGACCAGTGAAGAAGGCCTCCACACGGCCCTCCTGCAGACCTTCCTCTCTCTGAGGCATTCTGCTTTGTCCATATCCTGCCTTTTGCAAGTTGGGGTCTTGGATGTCCCTCCCGAGTCCTACGTCACACTCTCATTTTCCTGCTTCGGACGGGTCAGAGGTCATATGTCAAAGAGGATATTTGAGGGTCACATGGGCTTTGTCTCTACAAAGGATAGTTTTCTCCTGACTTATATATCTCATTATAAATAGGTGCTACCAAAGAAATTTCTGCCTAATTTCCCTCCACCTGCCTTATCCTTACCCTCTTAAGTCTGACCCCTTCTGCCTCATGGACTTTTGCAGCAGTTCTTACTCCTTATTTCTAAAACATGGTTACATCCGCGTCTGAATTTTAACTTGAAAGGTAACACAGCACTGTGGTCAGGAGCAAGACTCAGAAGCCAGATTGCCTGGTTTTAAATCAGTTCTGCTGCTTCCCAATTGAGTGGCCTTAGGTAAGCTATCCAGTCCTACTGTGCCTCAGTTTCTTCATCTGTCAAATGTGGATGATATCAACACCTACCTCATAAGGTGATTGTGAGGATTTAAAAGAGCACTTCTAAAGCACTTAGTAAATCGAAACCACCCTATAAAAAGGGGATTTTTTTTTGTAGAAACAAAAAAAACTTTTAACTCCATCTCTTCCTTTCTGCAGAAAACCTCATTCGTCTCTTTCCTCATTTTGTCCCTTTTAGGTAGCAACAGCAAACACTCCCTTTCTTGTCAAAATCTCCTGTTTTCCCATTGACTCTTAAGTGCCTCGCTTTTAAGATGCCTTAACTAAAATCTAGATTCATCAAAATGCTTGTGTTGTTCCCCCACTGGCTTCAATTTCCATCCCTCTGACTCCTCCCTTGATTCCTTTCAGTCTTAGATCCTCATCATTCTTTGTCCACTGTAATTTTTGCCACGCTGAAGAGCTTTGAAGACTGCCGATGGTGGCACGTGGAGGGAAGGGGAGACCGGACCAGATGAAAGAACATCTCTTCCCAATGCCATGCTCTCCCCTCCCCTAGAGAGGGCCATAACTGGAAATCACACTCTGCGCACCTGCCTAACACACGAGGGCGCTCACAAAAATAGCAATGTGGCCTTCCTTCCAAGCCAATGGTCTTGCTCCTGCCTCCCGAGCAGACTTTAACAGCGGTCAATAGTCATTGTGGCAGTAATAGAGTGGATGGAACACTGAACTAGGAATCAGAAGCCCTGGTTTCTAGCCCCAGCTCTGCCCACATTTACTACTCTGACCTTGGCAAAATCATTTACACTTACTTGGCCTTCGTTCCCTTAGAGATAGTAGCACTCATAGTTGTGTGAGTCAAACATATGCAAAATTCTTTTCTGAGGACACATTTTAGCCTTGCACACACTCACATTATATTTACTGCTATTGTCAAATATCCAACTACAGTTCATATGAGAAAAAATCTTCAGACTCTTTGCTTTCAGCCCATACTAAAATGTAAACAGCAAAACACAATTTAAAAACATATTAGTGTTGATTGATTTGTGATGTTTCTGCTGTTTTAGATGATCAAAAGGTTTTCTCAAGGTCAGGATCACTGATGTTTTGGTCAGAAAATTGTTTCCTGTATGGGGCTGTCCTATACATTGTAGGGGGGTCTGCAACTGCCCTGGTCTCTACTTGTTAGATGCAAGTAGTACCCTTTCACCCAGCTGTGACAACCAAAAATGTCTCCAGACATTGTTACATGCTCCTGGGAAACAAAACTGCTTCTGATTGAGATCTACCAAGTTAAAGGATAATAAAGCCTTATTTTATTGTTTTTCATCTTTTCTTTTTCTTTCCATGGCTAACTCCTTAAAGTGGAATATAGAACATATTTTATATTTTCTACAAATTACTACAACTTATAGGCCAAAACCACATAGAATTAATGTTCGGTAAAAATTTTAGTATATGGGAACTATGTGAATGTGCTAACTGCCCCACCACCCACCAATATCACATCTCAAAAAACTGTCCTTATCAAGAGAAAGCAGGAACAGACCCATTTTCTTACTGGGAAATGTGTAAGTTTAATTCTTTCCAAACATCCTGTAGAAACACAGACCTGATTTGTACACTGGACTTAGTTCTTGTCATATAATGGCAGTGGTTCTCAACTAGAGCCAATTTAGTTGGCAATGTCTGGTGACTCTTTGGGTTGTCACAACTTGGGGAAGGGGTGCTACTGGCATCTAATGAGTAGAGACAGGGCTGCTATTAAACATCCTGCATGGGCCGCCACCAACAAAGAATCCTCCACTCCAATATATCAAAATGTCAAAAGTGCTGCTATATGGGAAGAAGAAGTGTACACTGTGCTTTTCCCTGACTATGTGGGCTTTTCTTTGGAGAACCTAATCAAGTCTGTTTTTCTTTCTCACAGCTGCTCGTGGCACAAGTTCCTAAGATGCATGCTTATGATCTTTCCCTTCCTAGAATGGATGTGTTTGTATCAATGCAAGGAGTGGCTCCTTGGAGACTTACTTGCTGGTGTAAGTGTTGGCATTGTGCAAGTTCCCCTAGGTAAGGAAGATTCTAAGCCTTTTCACCTATAGGCAATATATCAGACCTTGTCCACTTGCCCAGAGTAAAAATCACTTGTGCTGTGTGAATTCTATTCACATCATTATCACTTGGTCCCCTACCTGCCAAATTTCTAACTCTTCCAAGGTGGTTCCAAAAGACTCAGTTTAGTTTCTGAATTCTTTTGGGAGTACTTGCAATGCCTACTCATGGTCATTTTTCATAGTCACATGACTACAACAGACCTCACTTACCATTGGTTTTACTTAGAAAGGTGAAGGAAAGGAAACGGCATGCAAGCATCTCTTCAGCAAGTCACACACGGAGCAGTTCAGGGGCTACTCTTTGGTCTTCCAAGTGGCAGTTAGGATATAAGACAACAAGACCACACAAATAAGTATGGGAGCTCTCTGAGCTTTAGAAGCTTCATTTCCCAAATAGAAACCAACATCTCTTGTAATTACCACAACTGTTGCTTCCAGAGTCCCACAGCCAACATGCCCAGTTACAAGAGTCACTGTGGTCAGAGAGCTCAAAGCTAGAGCTTCCCCCTGGGTATTTATCTTTGTTCACAGTCTTCCTGGTACAGAGTATACTAGTCGAGCTCATTTTTACAACAACTAGTGTTGGCTAGTAACACAACTGACATTCCACAGGTATCAGGTTTCCAGAGGAAAAGAGCTAGAAAGTTAACCCAAGATCAAATTTATCCACAGAGAAAGAGATTGTGTTGATCCTTTTCTCACAGTAGCTCACAGTTCCCTACAAAGTCTGAACACCTCTATTCCTCTATTCTTCTAGGCAGGATTGAGACTTGTGATTGTACAGGTCATACAAACCACAAAAGAGGCCAACCACAGGGGCAGGCAGTACCTATGATGCCACTGTGGCACAGGACTGTTAGCTGGAGAAAAGGAATTGCTTTTTAAAAGATAAATTAATTGCTTTACAGTATAATTGACTTTTTTCCCCCCTTTGGTATATAGTTCTATGAATTTGAACACATGTCCAGATTTGTGTAAACACTGCCACATTCAAGATACATAACAGTTGCCTCAGCCCTAGAACTCTCTTGGGCCGTCCCTTTGTAGTCACATCCTCCCCTGACCTCTAACACCTGGCCCGTCCCCATCGTTCTGTCTTCTATGAATGGACTCAGACTGTAACTTTAGAAGGCTGGCTTCCTTGATTCAGCATTATGTCTTTGAAATTAATTCACGTTGCTATATGCATCAAGTTTGTTCCTTTTTATTGCTGAGTAATACCATTGTACAGCTGTACCACAGTTTGTTTATCCATTCATTGGTGGACATTTTGATTCCAGTTTTTGGCTATCACAAAGTTGCTATGAATACTCACATACAGGATTTTGTGTGAACATAGTTTTAATTTCCCTAACGTAAATACACCGGAGTCGTATTGTTGGTATATGGTAAGTGTATGTTTAACTTCATAAGAATCTACCAAACTTTTTTCCAGAGGGACTGTACCTACCATTTTACATTCCCACTGGCAATGTATGAGAATTCTAGTTCCTCCACACCCTTGTCAGCACTTAATATTGTCAGTATTTTTCAATTAAACTTTCCATTTTGAGATAACTACAGATTAACATGCATTTACAAGAAACTACAGAGAGATTCCTTGTGTCCTTTACCTACTTCCCAATGGTAACATCTTGCAAAACTGTAGTTTAATCTTACAACCAGGATATTAACATCGATACAAGATACAGGATATTCCCATTACCACAAGGATCCTTTGTGTTGCCCTTTCAGTCATCCCCACCTGCCTCTCCCCACTCCCCATACCCTCCTTAATCTATAGCAACCACTAATCTGGTCTTCATTTCTGTAATGTTGTCATTTCAAGAAAGTCATATAAATGGAGTCATACAATATATACCTTTGGGGACTTTTTTTAATTCATCATGATTCTCTGGAGACTCATCTAGGTTGTTGGTATATCAATAGTTTATTCCTTTTTATTGCTGAGTAGTATTCCATGGTGTGGATGCACCACAGTTTGTTTAAACATTCACCCTTGAAGGACATCTGGATCGTTTGCACTTTGGGACTACTACAAAAATAACTGCTATGAACATTTGTGTGTAGGTTAGTGAACACAGTCTTCCATTTCTCTGGGATAAATGTCCAGGAGTGCAATTGTTGGATTATGTAGTATTGCATGTTTAGTTTTTTTTAAGAACTGCCAGGCTGTTTTCCAGAGTGGTTGCATCATTTTACATTCCTACCGGCAATCTATGAGTGATCCAGTTGCTCTGCATCCTCACAAGCATTTGGTGGTGTCACTACTTTTTATGTTAGACATTCTAGTAAGTGCCTGGTGAGATCTCACTGTGGTTTCAGTTTGCATTTCTCTAATGGGTAATGATGTTTACTGTCTTTTCATATGCTAATTTTCTATCTATATATTTTAGTGAAATGGCTCTTCTTGTCTTTTGCTGTTATTCTAATTGGATTGTTTTCATTTTACTGTTGAATTTTGAGTTATTTGTATATTCTAGATATTAATCCTTTGTCTTCTGTGTTTTACAAATATTTTCTCCCAGTCTGTAGCCTGTCTTTTCATCCTCTTACCAGAGTATTTACAGAGGAAAATTTAAAATGTTTAATTTTGCTGAGTTCTAGTTTCTAGTATCCTTTATTTTAGCCATTTAGGAGATGTGTGCAGTGGTATCTTATCATGGTTTCAATTTTCATTTTCCTAATGGCTAATGAGGTTGAACATCTCTTCACGTCCTTATCTGCTATCCTCATATCTCTTTGGTGAAGTGCCTGCTCAAGTCCTTAGCCTACTTTCTAACTGGAAGTTTTTTTTCTTATTGTTAATTTGGGGGAATATTTTATATATTCTGGATGCAAGTCCTTTATCAGATTTGTGACTTGTAACTATTTTCTCTTAGTCTGATGCTTATCTTTTCATTTTCTTGACAGTGTCTCTGGCCCTGACAAGCAAAAGATTTTGATAAAGCAAAAGGTTTTAATTTTGGTGAAGTCCCATTTATCAATTTTTTTTTCCTTTTATGGATTGTGCTTTTCCTATCATACATAAGAATTCTTCACCTAAACTCCAGGTCACAAAGATTTTCTCCTATGTTTTTTCCTAAAATTCTTATAGTTTTATGTTTTACATTTAGCTCTATGATCCATTTTGAGTTAATCTTTATATAAGATGTGCAATTTAGGTCAAAGTTTATTTTTTATTGCATCATCAACATCATTTTTAAGGAAGGCTATTATCCATTGAATTGTTCTTACCCTTTTGGCAAAGATCAAATAGCCATATTTTTGTGGGTCTATTTCTGAACTCTCTTTATTCTGTTCCCCTGATCCATGAGGTTATCCCTTTGCCAAGGTCATGTCTTGCTTATTGTAATCTTTTATAAAGAGTCTCAAAATTGGATAGTATTTTAAGTAAAACATTGGAAATTTTGTTTTTTTTTAAATTGTTTTATCTTTTCCATATAAATTTTAGAATCACCTTCTCTATATCTACAAAAAGTCTTACTGAGATTTTGACATTTGTTATATTAAATCGATAGATCACTTTGGGGAAAATTGATCTTTATTATGTTGATTTCAATCCATCATCACAGTATGGCTCTCCATTTATTTAGGCCTTTGATTTCTTTCATCATCTTTGTAGTTTTCAGCATACAGATCATTTTGGAGGAGATACTGTATATAGCAATTAAAAACATTTTGGTTTCCAATTGTTCATTGTTTGCATATAGACATATGATTGGTTTTTGTGCATTCAGCTTGTATTCTGTAACTCACTTATTAGTTCTAAGAATCTTGTAGATTCCCTGGGGTGTACTACATGATAATCATGTCATCTGTGAATAAGGATAGTGTGTTTCTTTCTTTCTAATATAAATGGGTTTTATGACTTTTTCTTGTTTATTGTACAGCTGAAACCTCCAGTCCTATTGAATAAGAGTGGTGAGAATAGACAATCCTGCCTTCTTCTTGATCTTGTGGGGAAAGCATTTAATATTTTACCATTAAGTATGATGTTAGCTGTAGGGTTTTTATAGGTGCCATTTATTAGGTGGGGGGAGTTTCCATCTGTTTGAGAGTTATCATTAGCAGATGTTGTATTTTGTCAAATGCTTTTACTCAGCACATATGGATATGATCATACGATTTTTCTCTTTCGGCTGTTAATATGGTTGACTGCATTGATTAATTTCCAAATATTGAACTAGCCTTGTGTTCCCAGATTAAAGGAGTATCTTTTACAATTTCCATGTGGCAGCTACATATCAAAATGATCCATCTGTGTGCATACATTCACTTCTAGGAAAGTATCAAAGTCTCTAGAGCATTCTTGTGGTGCTGAAATGATTGACCTGAACTCTTGGCGCTGATGCTTTAACCGTGAGTCCTCTACTGACTCCCACTTTTAACAGAGTTCCTTCATTTATGGTCACAATTTGAGGACATCCCATTGCTAAATTATCAAGTCATCAGTGTAATTTGGTAACAAAATAAAAATGACATTCAGATGTATCAGTACACCTGGCATATAGCATAGTATCTAGCATGTAGTAGGTACTCAAAATGTTTGTTGATTAACAGTAATTATATAACTATATGAATTAATAAATCTAAGCACTGTTGCTAACTGACTAAGGAATGGTGTGCTATTTTAAGTAGTGTGAATAATGAAATAATTTCTAGTGTAAATAATTCAAAATTATTCCTTACATTTGAATAGGCAGATCTAACAACTTAATCATTTTCTTCAAATGAAACAAAAGTACTACATGGTGAAGACATAAAAAAGGTGCTAGATCTACCTTACAGTAAAGTTCCAACTCATAAATATAAAAGAAAATAGAAAATCAGCATTAGGGAAACACCACAGTAATTTAATTCTTATAGATACAATCCACTGAAGATGTTAAAATTAGTGGGTGAAAGTTTCCAAACTATGCAATAGGATTTGCAGTTTCCAAATATCTTCCTGAA